GAATTATTACCATTGAAGCAAGACTATTGCTGTGGTGTCTCAGTAGCATACGCTATCTTCTTTCTTTGTCGCCGGCTCCCGCCACACTAGTTATATTTACAGGCAAAATATGAGCGGACCAAAGATTCCTTACAAGCGCATGTGGGGTGCTAACACAACCCAACGTTAATTGGTGCTACGAGCCATGGCCGCGAGAGAATTCGGTCGAAGAGATTCGTGGTGTTGTCCGCTGTCTAAATCAGGTGACCTCGCTGTTATTTAAGTGAGTGTGACGTAAAGCAGCCGACCACTATAAATCAGGTGAGCGTATTGTCATCAAGGTGTCACGTTAATGACCAGTTCGCTACAAGTAAATAACTTTATCACTATAGGAGGTCCTTCTCAACGACCCAACTCAGTCAAGGCTATGATGGCAGCACCTGCCGGAAATTAAAAGGTCATAAACAGGTATGGGACAAGAAGGAAACTTTGATAAACACGGAGATAAAACATCGCACAAGCGCCCCCCCCCCGAAAAAAAATGAAAATTTACAAGGTCTTTGAAGAAATTTACACTCTTCTCCATTGTCTCAAAAGACAAAAGTCTCCTTCCATCGACCTTACTATATATTACGCCAATATTACTACTCTTAGAGACCTGGGCAAACTTAAAACAATAATTTTGGACAGTTAATGTTCCCTCTGAGGAGTATTTCCAATGATCTTAGACGCAGTGGAGAGTTAATAAGAAACGCAGAATAAAGCAGAGACGGAGATACCAGCAGAGGAAGAAGGTTAATGAAAGATACAAGGAAGTGCAGAAACAACATTTGCAAGAAAGAGAGAGAGAGAGAGAGAGAGAGAGAGAGAGAGAGAGAGAGAGAGAGAGAGAGAGAGGAGAGAGAGAGAGAGAGAGAGAGAGAGAGGAGAGAGAGAGAGAGAGAGAGAGAGAGAGAGAGAGAGAGAGAGAGAGAGAGAGAGAGAAAGAAAGAAATTGGGGATTAAGGGTAGAATATACTTAGAATAATGAATATATATATATATATATATATATATATATATATATATATATATATATATATATATATATATATATATATATATTATATATATATATATTATATATATATATATATATATATATATATATATATATATATATATATATATATATATATATATATATATATATATATATAATATATATATATATATTAATATAAATGTACAGGGTCCACTGCTAGAGCAATATATGGAGTTCCTTAGCCTCGGAGAAGTGAAATGTCTTGTAGGAAGACCGCGGGGGCGTTGACCCCCGAAACCTTCTCCAGGTATACAAATTATCATGAAGTTTCATAACTTTGGCTTCGAAAAAATAGACATTGAAAAAGGAGTTGAGGACAAGTTGCTCTAAAGCTCCCGGGCTGCTTCTGCGATGAATAAAAATAATTTGAAGGGCGAAAAAGTCACTACGTAAAATATATAAGACACCTCATTTATACTCTGCGCTCAAAAAATCGGGTTTAACGGGGAAAACGTAATGCGTTATTATGACGCGCCTTGCTTCCTATGTGATTAGTCACAACGTCGCCGACGACGACCAATCAACGAAGAGTTTGAAATAACAACACATGTCAAATAAAACAAAGGAGAAACGTAATGATGTGGAACCATGGTAACATGATTCAAGTCTGTTATTAATTATTAACCTACGTCATATTGTATGATAATGTTATATTTACCACCTTACGGCATAAATTAACAACAGCGAGTTAAAGGGCCATGAACAAGTCCTGAACGTGGTAAATATCTCAACCTGTATAAACTACTTTTTATAATATTAATAATATATATATATAATATATATATATATATATATATATATATATATATATATATATATATATATATATATATATATATATATATTATATTATATATATATATATATTATATATATATGTGTTCCCCGTCCATAACGTGTTCACGGCCCTTTTGTATATTTTTGTAGCTTACATCTATGCTTACAGTGTCAGAAAATGTACAATACATAAGAATACAGGTAGTGGAATGCAGCTGTTAGTCGTAAGGTAAACACAACAGCTTAAAGCTGTTAATCAGCTTTCTCAAGGAACACCTGTGGCTAACAGCTGCCTTCCACAGCATATATTAATTACAAACACTGCCGCGTCTGCTGCCTTCAGTTGACGGTGCTCAGAGCCAGTCACAGTGCAGCAGTGTGTCACGGAGTGAACTTTGCAAGACATATTTTATGTTAACCTTTCATGGGTTTTTGGGGTGTGTGAGGGTTGAGGGTGATGGGGTGGGCAGCCAGAACTTTGTATTCCCGTTAACAAGATGAAAAATAATCTACAGTTAGGTGAGATATGCGGCAAAACTGTTACGCTACTTGCTTTTAAACGCCCGTGACAGAAGGATGATACACTACACTAACATTTGCATCCTTAAGTACCTCTACCTAACAGTTACCTACTCAAACATAATTGTTTCCAGACACTCTTTACAGTCTTCTAATGACCAATGATCTGCCTATATTTCCACTAGTAAAAGATTCTATATATTTATATATACATCTTCTACCCTTAATGTCTGGGGAGACTACGGATTTTTTTAACCTATAGCTCAAATACAAAGTCTTAACCAAAATAATAATAACAGTTGCATAGAAAATTTTCAACATTAGACAGTAGACTTTCAAAACTTCCCGAAAAAGTTATAAATAAAAAAAAGAGTAAAAACACAGTCTATACACTATATCGTAAATTTCTAATTATACCGGTAGGCAGTATTTTTCATAATAAACTTTCAAACTATCAAAAATCCCTTCAACACAACCCATAGAAAAAAATGACGGAGCCTTGATAGTTGAATCTGGCATAACAAATGCGTAGACTTTATCTTGCAAAAAAAAAAATTTTTATTCTGTAGGTGGTGAGGACACTGGCTGGGGAACAGAGGATGAAACTTAATATAACTAGTAATATAACTAGTAATCCCTGTTTTTTTTTTTTTATTTTGCATACTGCCCGCGGCTAATCTGTCGACGAGAGCTTTTCCTTCTCAAAAAAAAAAAAAAAAAAAAAAAAATCTCCCTCTCTCTCTCGTTTGCATTTTGGGATATAAAGATTTTAATGCTGATCATCTTGTCCACAGCCGCTGGCGTCACCACACACAGGCACACACACACACACACCACACACACACACACACACACACACACACACACACACACACATCACACACACACACACATACACACACACACACACATACACTCAACATATTGCATCAAGGTTTAAATTATTATCAGCAATATCTAATGCATTACAGCTTACACAGCCATATAAAATATATCAGATGGAACGGGAATGGCTGAGGTGACTCTCTAAGTCTAAAGCTCTACGACATTCAACGCTCACCATCCAACGAGGGAGATACGTACAGGATTACCAAAATCAACGCAGTTATAGAAAAGGAAGTCGTTTGATTTTATATCTTATAATATATTTTATAGGGGTTGTATTCTGTGGTATGACCTACTTAGCGAATAAAGGGAACTAGCCATGAATCCTCAGTATTTTTTATCTGGACTAAACTTAGAAAAAAATGCATATTTGTATGCATAAGTATCAAAATGCGCAAAACTTGCTTCTTGTCAGTTCACGGGTATCAGGAGTAAATAAAACTTTCTCCTACTCAGACTAACGTCAATCACGAGTCTATAAATCTACTTGAAAGACATACACCCTTTTTTTCACACCTTATCTCTGTAGGATGGGCGGCTTAAATGTAAATAAAGAGAAAACACTGCAACGTATCACAACAGAATCAGCGAGAGACACCCAGCGGAAGCCGAAGGCTATATTTTGCGCCCTGCAGAAGACAGGTTAGACTAGGCTGTTGGGTTCTGCCTAGACAGGTTCAAATACATTGCTGAGTCCTGGCCAAGTCAGGTTCAACTACGTCGTTGGATGCTGCAGGTTCAACTACATCGCTGGGTCCTGGCCAAGACAGGTTCAACTACGTCCTTGGGTCCTGGCCATGACAGATTCAGCTATGTCGTTGAGTCCTGCAGCAGACAGCTTCAACAATGTCGTTTGGTCCTGGACAAGGCAGGTTCAACTACGTCCTTTGGTCTTGCCTGAGACACTCTCAACTACGTCGCTGGCGCATAAATTCGCCTCGACATCCGCTGCGTTATGATGTTATAAAAATATATTGAAATATTTTGGCATATGGATTGCCAGCTCGCCTTGAAGTGAAGTCAGGAGGAGTGAACGAGGCCTTGAAGTGAAGTCAGGAGGTGGGAACGAGGCCTTGGAGTGAAGTCAGGAGGAGTGAACGAGGCCTTGAAGTGAAGTCAGGAGGAGTGAACGAGGCCTTGAGGCGAAGTCAGGAGGTGGGAACGAGGCCTTGGAGTGAAGTCAGGAGTGAACGAGGCCTTGAAGTGAAGTCAGGAGGGAACGAGGCCTTGAAGTGAAGTTAAAAGATGTGAGTGGGATAGACAAATAATGTAACTAGCTAACTGGCTACTCTGATCTATAAGAGAGAGAGAGAAAGAGAAAGAGAGACAGAAAGAGAGAGAGAACAAAGATGTCAGTCTCTGAGAGGAGACGTAAGATGTAGACTTCTCTTCAAGAGGCTGGGAAGAAGAAACTCATGTCTGATGTATTGTATACACAGAAAAGCTTCAGGACAACCATTTAGCCTCCAATTTGTATAACTTTTCCTTTTAAAACTTGACCCTTCATAAATAGATTTATATATGTATATATAAATGTGCATATATATATATATATATATATATATATATATATATATATATATATATATATATATATATATATATTATATATATATATATATGTATATTATATATATATATATATATATATATATATATATATATATTATATATATATATATATAAAATATATATATATATATATATATATATATATATATATATATATAATATTTACATATAAAAAGAAGCACTTGAACAAGAATAAACTATAAGTACAAGGGTTTTCTCTGGCAAAGATTTAACAACTCAGATATTATTATTATTATTACAATTATTATCTGTATATAAGCCTCTATTTGCATTATATTGTTATTTAAACAATTTCAAAGCGTTTTAAAGTTTTCAACTTTGAACGTAGTAAAAATTCTGAAAAAAAAAAAATCTCCTAAGCTTACCCTGTCTTGCCAGTTACTGTGGTGATGTGACCAAACCAGCCAATCTGATCCTTCAGAAAGTGTGCAGTAAGGGCGAGTCTTCCCCCTGTAAAGCGAGGAGAGATAGCCTCTACTGATGACCTCAAGAAACACACTCGCTGGCCCGACCACAATTGCTACCAAGTGGTTTTTAATTCTGGCCAAAAATTTACTGTCTCTAATACCTCTTCTGTACCCTGTACAAGAAACTTTGAATTATATCTACTGAGGTGTAAACGTGAGTAGATTATCTACTGGTGGCGAGATCGGCTATTTTGAACTGTAAGAATGACGGCTCGAAGAATCAATTTTCCATTTGCAAGGTTTTGAGGAACACGACCTTGTGTCTGTGTGGGCTCGTGCCTCCCATTCAAAATGACAACCCGTCACTTGACGTAAAAGTAACTAGAATAAGGTGATAACGGAGGCAACACCTTTACTGTATATATATATATATACACAAAAGTAAAATATCTAAACCACAGGTATGTCTAAATACCAATTTTCAAGTCACTTTTCACATGCATATACAAACGTATGCTCAGTGTAGCTACCACTGCTGGAAAACGTTTCTCCTGGGCTGCATGTCGGGCCCATGAACTGGAGACCAACACTCCATTACTTACAAAGATCAGTCTTGATGTAGCATGGCGTGCATCTCCACATTGAAGTCATCCAGGGGCCGGGGGTGGAGGAGAAAGCGGTGGGAATTGAAGGGGCAGGAAAGGGGGTGCTGAAGTGGCCTTGATGGGGGAAGCGGTGGCCCAGTAGAAGTGGCCCAGTAACGTCAACTGGGAAAAGTAGTGGTCCAGTAGCTTCATCTGGGGGAAGAAGTGGCCCAGTAGCGTCAACTGGGGATAGAGGTGGCCCAGTAGCAACTGAGGAAAGTGGTGGTCCAGTAGCAACTGGGGAACAGTTGGTAATGATCACTGGTAGAGTGTGAGAGGTACGACAATGGACAGTTGATGGTGAGAGCAAGTGAGGAAGATGAAGGTGAGGAAGGTGAAGGTGAGGGAGGTGAAGGTGAGGGAGGTGAAGGTGAGGGAGGTGAAGGTGAGAGATGTGAAGGTGAGGGAGGTGAGGGTGAGGGAGGTGAAGGTGAGGGAGGTGAAGGTGAGGGAGGGTGATCAGGGCGAGATGGTGCAAATACCAAGCATCAGCCATGGCAACCCCGTGCTCTTGGTGGTGAAGTGAAGATGACAGTAGCAGTAGAAATAGTAGTAGTCGTAGTAGTAGTAGTAGTGGTGGTAGTAGTGGTGGTGGTAGTCGTGGTGGTGGCGGTGATGGTGGTGGTAGTTGTGGTGGCGACGGCGGCTGCAGACACGACCCCAGTAAGAGAGGGATCACCACCCTGCCAGATCCCACACTCTAAATGTAACTATACGAGGACGAACAGCTTACCTGCAAGCGGAGAGAAGGTCAACACGACGTTGGTAAATAATTCTTCATCTAGACAACCTTTCTGCTACAAGCAGATTCTATTTTTCTCGTTCAAAGTAGAGCATTTCTCACTTTAAGAAGAGCTTATCATTACTTAGAACGACTATCTATCTATCTATATATATATATTTATGCAAGAGAGAGAGAGAGAAAGGAAGACCTTGAAAGTTAGGTACCTAGGGAAGGAAGCAGTTGAAGACAGACCAAACACAAGGGAAGACACATGTCGAGTAAGTAAAGCATTAAGTACCAGGTCAGTGTGGTTAAGAATATACATAAAAATAAAAACCATAATTAATACGATATTTTACCTGCACGAGACTTTGTAGGTAATACTTTAAGTATCTCAGCATTTCAGGAGGAGGAGTCAGAGAGAAGAAATGTTAAACGGCCTTGAAGAAACGAAGGTGGGGAGGGCAACTTTGATAAGACAGAGAGGAAAATGAGGCAGAAAGCCCTCATGACATTTGAGTTAAATGGAATAAGAAAACCCAAGTGAAATACACGAAGGTAAATAAGAAGAGCTAAATAGTAATAATGGTAGAATTACCGACGAAATGTTAGATAAATGCACACAGATTCTACTAATGTGACATTTTATTGTGGCGATGTTTCGCTTTCCAGGGGCTTTGCTAAGCCGCTACGGCTTGACAAAGCTCCTGGAGAGCGAAACGCTGTTACAGAAAAATGTCGGATTAGTTGCACTTTTTTCTATTTATTTAACAAGAAAAACAACGAAGACTGATAAAGAAGGGGAGCTGACAATGTTTTTAAAGTAGAAGCATGTTTTAAAAGGAAACCAGGTCAGTAAATTCCATCATGAGGCCAGAGCAGGAAAAACAATAACGCGAAGAAATCAAATTTAGAGAGAGTCTCACAACTCGATTCGGCCGTGTCAAAAAAATTTCGGGAGAAAGAACAGAGACAGAAGGGAAAGATTGGGCGATGGAAAAAAAGGCGTGGAAAGGAACGGAACAGGAAACAGATCACCATCTTGGAAGAGGGGATCAATGGGGAAAAAAGGGAGTCCAGGAAATGCCCCCCCAACTCCACAAAAAACTCCTGGTTTGTACTTCAAAAGGGGAAAAAAGTAATAGCATTCCCCCAAACTTCCCTAACAACAGTAGATTACAGAAATTAGAGTGGGTATTCGAACGTAGATGGAATCACCAAAACTGATGTTAAGAGTACTGTACAAGGGGTTAACAGGAAAGATTCAACAAAAAGGAAGCTAAAAATAAAAAAAGACAAACAGAATAGTTTAAATGATTAATTGGGAAAGATAAAGAGAGTGGAAGGTGGAGAGAACTTGGAAAAAAACAGAAAACAAGCAGGAGAATCAGGGACGAAGTATATGAGAATAAGAAGGAAGTTGAAAGGCAACAATCGAACCACGTAAGGAAAAAAAAACTACGAAGGACCCAGTGATAATGCTGAAGAAGGAGAATAAAAGGGAAGTATGTGAAGAACTTGGTAAAAGATTCAAAGAAGTCTTAATGAAAGGAAATAGAAAATAACCAGAAGACAGTAATCATAACAAATGAACAGGAACTACGAACCATCAGTGGAACAAAACAAGAGGTAAACAAGCTAAATATAAACAAAGCAATGGGATCAGACTATATATTTAGGTGCTGAAAAGAGCAGAAAACCTATGGGAGATAACAGCAAAGGTCTTTAACAAGTCTCCTCAATCAGTCCAGCTGCCAGAAAGTTCGTAAGATGCATATTTAAGTCACATATAAAGGGCGAAACATTCCAGAGGCACAAAATTACAGGTCAACAGCTGTATTATACATACTGTTAAAACTTCTGAAGAAAACAGTATAGAAAAGCCTATTAGATCACTTGATAAGATTCTACACAGAAAATCCTCACGGATTTAGGGATGAAAAATCCTGTCTTATAGATTTCCTTTTATTCTGTGTAACACTGTCTAAATAAAGATAGGGCTGAGGGACTGCATCTTCTTAGACAACAAGAAAACATCTGACGCAGCACCACACCAGAGATTAGTCCAGAGACTAGAGGAAAGAACATTCAGAGTTAAAAGACAGAGTGCTCCAGTTGGCCAGGGAGAACCTGAGTGACACAAGACAGAGTTCCTAATTATAAAAAAATACTTTGCATGCTAGGCAGAGAAAGATCACCTGCAAATTATTACTAAAATTAGTTCATAAATTCTTTGTCTGCATACCGAAGAGTGGAGTGTAGATATGATTTCTTGTGTTATTCTCTCTATCTTTCTCTCTCTCTCTTTAATGAAATATAAAATACTGTTGTAAAAATATAAGGAAGGTTTATTGCAGCAATTGATATACATTAAAAAAACGTAAAAATACAATATTTATATAATATATAAACACAGTTTTAACAGAGCCGTTGACAATCAAGTTAGTATTGTAGTAAGAAACCAAAGTAGCATAAATAATGTAAAGTCTGTAACTAGCATACCTTAATACTAGCTAAACTACACGAAATGTGAAGTCTATTACTGGAGCATCTTAGCATGAGTTAAACTACGCACTTCTTTATGTTAGCTTAACTAAAATTATACGGATCTTCCAGTGACTTCCCGTACTCACCAAGATTTCTTCTTCAGTGGTAACCGTTAGCGTAGGCAGCTATGAGAGGACCCTGCAAGAACAACACCAAGCATCAACACATGCTTCATCTGCTTTGCAAAGCTAACAACTCATCCACAAGCCACTTAGTGTCTACAAGTTCCAGTCTCCCTTCCCCCCCTTCTACAAACCCCACTCTCCTCTACTTCATGATCCAACACTTGCCCATTCTTTCCCTTCCCCACCTCCTCTTTCCCTTCCCCACCCCCTCTTTCCCTTCCCCACCCCCTCTTTCCCTTCCCCACCCCTCTTTCCCTACCCCACCCACCAAGCAAGCAGGTAAAGGTTGGTTGGAGGTTTCTGGGTGGTTTCAGGGAGGTAGAGACCCGACTGACTTTTAATAACACAGCTGTAATAGGTTTTTACTCAAAGGTTACGCTTATTTTCGTCTTAGACAAGGATATATGACCTGTTATTATCCCAACTACCTCAAGTCTAATATATTTATATACATGTAGGAATATATGTGTAATTACAAACATACACACATTATAATCTCTATACATATGAATATGTAAGCATGTATAGACATATACACGATTCGCAGTTTTTGTAAGAACAGGAGAGTGTATATATACATTCTCGTGTTCTTAGCATTTCTTAGGCTGTTCATACGTCTGTCAGGGATACCTTTTCTTAAACCAGTAAAGAAAAGAAATACTATTAAGCTATATACTTAATTGTTCTTCCTTAGACGAAAAGAAACGAAATTTTCACTCGTGATTGTTAAAACATTATCTGCCGCAGTTCAGAATATTATAAAAGGCGTGTATAAAACAAAAAAGGTTTGTGGAAGACACTCAGATGCTTCCTGGCATTTACAAGAGTCCATGTGTCGAGTGTCGTAAATGTTGCACTGAGTAAATAAATGATTTTAAAGTCTTTATCAACAGACTCTGTACCTGTACTCTGTACCTGTACTCTGTACCTGTACTCTGTACCTGTACTCTGTACCCGTACTCTGTACCCGTACTATGTACCCGTACTCTGTACCCGTACTCTGTAACTGTACTCTTTAGCTGTACTCTTTAGCTGTACTCTGTACCTGTATTTGTACCTGTACTCTTTACCTGTACTCTGTACCTATATTCGTACCTGTACTCTGTACCTGTACTCTGTATCTGTACTCTGTACCTGTAGTCTGTACTTGTACTCTGTATTTGTACTCTGTACCTGTACTCTGTACCTGTACTCTTCACCTGTACTCTGTACCTGTATTCGTACCTGTACTCTGTACCTGTACTCTGTACCTGTACTCTGTACCTGTACTCAGTCTGGAGTTTTGCGACTCACTGATCGAGGGTTCAATCCTCGCCCGTACCGTGGTTTATACTCCGTACCCGCTGGGGATAATAACTATGCTGTATTTCGGCAAGATACAGAGAACCATAAAGTTCATTTCAGTACACTGAGGTATTGATGGTGAGCGACAACACACAACAGAGAGAGATAAGGGAATCATTTATAATTAACAATGTCCCCAATTTCAATACTGTGAACGAGAATGTCGCGCCAGAATTGAATACATGTCTTATTAAATTTGGCAACCCATTAGGGATGGTAATTCAACCCCCCCCCAAAAAAAAAAAAATCATGATTTTTGGCAAGATTATTTAACATATGAAAAAACAAATGTGGAATGTTTTTGCTTATCAAAAGTTGTAAATGTGAATATGTTGAAGATTGAGACACTTATGCAACATAACTAAAGTGAGAGGTTAGTGGATGGGCAAGTAGGCCTACTGCAGTATACCTCAATTCATATGTACTCATATGTTCTATTTTTGGTAGGCCTACTTTAGTGCACCTTGCTCGTGTACACCTGACTTGGTTGTATATGTAATGGCTTCCTGCCGATAAGTGGAGCATCGTCTGAAGAGGGTCCAAATTTATACCGAAAATATTGTCACCATCTCTGTTAAATGTGTTATCATACTTATACATATATACATATAATGCACAATAACCAATGTGAAAACAGTGAATATCACCTGTTTATTGTGAGATTATTGCATGTATATACATATAAACATTCTTATTCTCCTGCCCTCTCCAGTAGCGTCGGGGAAACCGGCCCCTTTCTTTCTAAGTGGTCACCTTGGTGACTCTAACAGCACTGTTTACTGTCATCATAGAGATCTCAATCATCCTGCAGGATGGTGCTCTTCTATGACCAACTATCCTTCTAATGGTCTTGTTGAATCAGCCCTTATTCACAGCATTCCTAAGTACTACTACTACTACTACTACTATTATTATTACTATTATTATTATTACTACTACTACAACTACCTCTACTACTACTACAACTACCTCCTCTCTCCATTCTCTCCTACCTGGTTATAGTGTCTGCTTCATATTACTCAGTTGTCACTTAATAATGGTCCAGGATAAATCGAAACAACGTCTAAAGGTATCTTCCCACTTTCTTTCAGCCCTCCCATTTTCTTTCAATTCTCCTCTCATTTTCTTTCAATCCTCCTACCATTTTCTTTCAATCCTCCTCCCATTTTCTTCCAATCCACCGTCTATTTTCTTTCCGTTCTCTAGTATTCTCTCAATCTTCTCCTTTTCTTTCAATCCTCCTGTTTTTCCCTTCAACTACCGTTTAACAATCCAATTTTGACAAGTTTTTCCAAGGCAGTTTCTTGATGGTCTCTGTTATAAACCCTCTGCCAGTTTATTACTGTTTAATCAAACTGCCCCAGCTTAGTTGGTATAGTTTTTAATCAGCTTTGATTTTTGTCGGCTCTAAGTTTAGTCAGTTTATAGCGAAAAAATTGATTAATAGGATTAACTTGAACGAAAGTCTCTCCCTTTCATTCACTTTGTTTATATAAAATATGAGAGAGAGGAATATATATATATATATATATATATATATATATATATATATATATATATATATATATATATATATATATATATATATATAATATATATATATATATATGTATATATATCAAATTACATGAATTGAAACCACTCTAGAATATCAGAATACTGTTTACCACAGCCCAAGAAATAATGATAATTATTATTATTATTATTATTATTATATATGTTATTTTTATTATTATTTTATTATTTTTTATAAATATTATTATTATAACTAATATTATTATTATTATTATTTAATATTTAAATTTTTATCATCATTATTATTATTGTTATTATTATTATTATTATTATATATATATTATTATTAACTATATACTATCATTATTTTTATTGTTGTTATTATTATTAGATATTTAGTAAATCACAGATCAGAAGATTAATCAATTATTAATTTATTTTAATGGATAACTATCACTACTATCAGTAACACAGTATATAAAAGATAAAGTAAAGGGAGGTCGGGAGTTGAAGCTCAACTTCCAACTGACTGGAACCATGAAATTGCATCACTCCACTTTTCCCCACTAACATAGCGCATAACAAATTAAGGTAAAATCCAAGTTTATATCCTTAATTACAATCCTGGAAAGAAATTGCTCGAGATGTGCAGTCTTTTTTCGAGAAGATGAAGCGCAGATTAAGAAATTTGAAGGAAACAAAGTTGCTGAAGAGAATGGAAGAAATAGCAAGCAAGGGAATAGGAAGAGAGGAAAGAGAGGAAGAAGGATTAGGGGAGATAGAAATATAGGAAGGGACGAAATAGAAGGAAAACAAGGGAAATAGAAGACATGAGAAAGATGAGTAACTGGAAGAGGAAAAAAAAATAGGGGGAGATAGAATATGGGAAGGGAAAAGGATCGAGGAAGAAAAAGGAGGAGGGAGACCAGAGGATAAGTTGATACTGGCAAAAAAAAAAAATAAGCGAGGGAGATAAGGTACTGAGAGGACGGGGAGGGGAGGAGAAGGGGGAGGAGGAGGAGGAGGAGGAGGAGGAGGAGGAGGAGGAGGAGGAGGAGAAGGAGGAGGAGAAGGAGGAGGAGGAGGAGGAGGAGGAGGGGGGGAGGGAGGGGGAGGAGGAAGGTAATAAGGAAAAAGGAGGAGAATGAGGAAACAGGAAAAGGAAGGTACGTGTCACAACCAACCCTTTGCAAACCACCATTAGACACCATCCATAAACCCCTTAGACACCACCCATAAACCCATTAGACACCATCCATAAACCCCTTTGACACCACCCATAAACCCTTAGACACCACCCATAAACCCCTTAGACACCACCCGTAAACCCCTTAAACACCACCCATAAACTCCTTAGACACCACCAATAAACTCCTTAGACACCACCCATAAACCCCTTAGACACTTCCCATAAACCCCTTAGACACCACCCATAAGCCTTTAGACACCACCCATAAACTTCTTAGACACCACCCATAAACCCCTTAGACACCACCCATAAACCCCTTAGACACACCATAACCCTTAGACACACCCATAAACCCCTTAGATACCACGCATAAACCCCTTAGACACTACCCATAAACCCTTTAGACATTACCCATAAACCCCTTAGACACCACCCATAAACCCTTAGATACCACCCATCAACCCTTAGACATCACCCATAAACCCCTTAGACACCACCCATAAACCCCTTAGACACTACCCATAAACTCCTTAGACACCACCCATAAACCCCTTAGACACCACCCATAAACCCCTTAGACACTACCCATAAACCCCGTAGACACCACCCATAAACCCCTTAGACACTACCCAAAACCCCTTAGACATGTAGTGCCAACTACTACCAATTAACAACCTCCAGAGACCTGGATTCCAAAGAGTGAGCACCACACTAACAGGCAGAACTCTGAGAGAAGTGTTGTGGTGGGTAGTGAGGGAGTGTTGCGGTGGGTAGTGAGGGAGTGTTGTGGTGGGTAGTAAGGGAGAGTTGTGGTGGCTAGTGGGGGAGTGTTGTGGTGGGTAGTGAGGGAGTTTTGGGGGTTAGTGGGAGTGTTGGGGGGGTTTGGAGGGGGTTGTGGTGAGTATGAGGGAGGTTGTGGTGGGTAGGAGGGGTGTGTGGTGGGTAGTGGGGAGTGTTGTACGGGGGTAGGATCGAGTGTTGTGGTGGCAGTAGGACATGTAGAGCAGCCATGATGCCCGTTGGAGCACCATTAACTTGAGACCCCCTGAGAGTGCTTAGGCACCACGTTAAGCCTTTAAGCGCTATGACTTTGGTGCACATGAAGAGTTTGGACGCCGTAACTTAGGACACTTCCATGAAGACCCTTAGGCACACATAAGCTTGTTAGTCACCACCCGATAGAACTTCTTAGACACCCCATAAACCCCTTAGGACACCACCCATAACCTGTGCACCACATAGGCCTTAGAACCATAACCCGTAGATACCACGTTAGGTTAGACACTACCAAAACCCTTTAGCATTACTAAACCCCTTGGACCACCATAAACCCTTTAGTACCACCATAACCTAGGACACCACCTAAACCCGTTAGACACCACATAACCTTAGGACACTACTAAACTCTTAGGCACCACCATAAACCTTGGAACGTCCCATAGACCCTTAGCTACCCATTAACCCGTGAGCCCACCCTAACCTGGCATCCAAACGCTTGAGATGGTAGTGCCAACTACTCAATGGTAAACTCCAGAGACTGGATTCCAAAGAGGTGAGGATCTTAACAGGGTGAGACTTGAGAGAAGTGTTGTGGTGGGTAGTGAGGGAGTGTTGCGGTGGGTAGTGAGGGAGTGTTGCGGTGGGTAGTGAGGGAGTGTTGCGGTGGGT